GTGCTGGTGCTGGTGCTGGTGCTGGTGTGGTGTGGTGTGGTGTGGTGTGGTGTGGTGGTTTGGTTAGTATCTCTCTTTGACTGCCTGTTGTTGCAGTTTTGTAGCATTTTGGTTAAATACCACAATGAAAGATTTATCGTCTTGTTGCAGAAGCTGGAATGTCTGAAAGCAAAAAATAAAGCAAAATTTAAAAATACAAAAAAAATAAATAAATAAATAAAAGCAAAATAACTACAAGTCTGACAGTTTTACTCGTCAAGAATAAATTTGTAGATAATTACAAAAAGTTTTATAATTTTTCTTTTATTAAATAAATTAAATGCTTAATAAGTCATTATTTTATACTTGAACAGTTTTCCTTTCAAGTGGTCGATGCATTGCATGTGGCATTCGCTTCACATAAATCACATAAACTGTGATAGATACGATATTGACTACGATAAGATTTTCTTTGATATAATAATCAAGTCCATCTGTCCCGCCCAGTCGATTTGTCTTGCAATTACTTTATAAATAACGCAGGCATCCTTAAGCGGTCAGCCCTTCTTTTAATCAAGCTATTCAAGGAAGATGGAGCAAGTTGTTTAAAATTCTTAGGCAAATGATTAAAAGAAGAGACTGCTTTTTGAATGATTGAGAACAATATTTCTGTTTTTTGTGTGGCTTGTAAGATTTAATTAATTTATTTTTGTTTATTCTTCTTTTATATTACAGGTCTCCGCATCGGGTCTCTTTGAATTGCGTTTGAAATACTTTAAAAACGATTACGGTCGCGATAGCGAAGGTCACTGTTGTAGTGGTCAATCGGATCCTACGACGGGTAAATGTATTGGCGGTTGTAAGACACGGTTTCGTGTTTGTCTGAAACATTATCAAGCGAAAATCGATACAACATCGCAATGTACTTACGGTGATGTGGTGACACCCATATTGGGTGAAAATTCGGTTAATCTCACGGATACGCAAAATTTCCAAAATAAAGGTTTCACAAATCCGATACAATTTGCCTTCAATTTCGCGTGGCCGGTAAGTAATCCATCCTTCGAATTATCATATTGTTCGCCCATCAATTTTTCAATCAAGTTTTTAACAAAAAACGAAAAAAAAAATGTACTTAAAAATATGAAAAAAAAAAAAAATCAAAAAATGGAAAAAAAATCCCTCTTAGAGTTTTTGATTTTTTGTGTTATAATCTGTTTTAGCAAATTGCTTAAGTTAAAAATACATTTTCTAAATTTAGCGAAATTTGTGTGTTTATTCACATATAATATGTGTATGTGCATTATGTATGTATATCAGTCCCCACATAATAAAGAAGAACTTCTCTCTTGTGGACACGCATTTACTTATGTTTAAATGCTTTTACTGTTTACTGAAATCGTGAAGATCATTATGAGACACATGCGTATGCAAAAACGACGAGTGGCGTATGTCGTCTGCGCCACCCCTTTTCTGAATGTACACAGAAGTTTGTGATCTACATATAGATTTTCGTCTGTCATGAAAATGTGCTTTTTTTTATGTCATTGTTTACTCATCGCAACCAACAATGAACCCAACATCATGGTGTGTGGTGGTGTCCTTGTAGTGTAAAAATAACAGAAATAAACACACGTATAAACGCACACACACACACTTATGTACAAATGTATAAGCAATATATATATATACAGGCTTTCATATTTAAGTTATCTGTCCTGTCATGTGTGTGTGTGTGGCTGTGTGTGTGTGTGTGTGTATGTGCGTCTGTGTGCGTGTTTACTTGCCTTTTTATGTATATGTATTTGCACCAGCATTTTTATTATCAATAAAACGGGGGTTGTTCAAGTCTTTGACTGACTCTCTTCCGTCGCGCACTCTCTTTCTTTGACTGTTTACACATTCATTTGTTTAGTTTTATTAAACATCTGTCGGTTATTAATACTAAAAACGCAAACGCAATAAATGCGATAACCTATAGGAATAATAAAAGCGCGTGCGCGCATTTGAAGTAAATACAATTTTTCAAGTGACATAAAACTGTTACACCGGTTTCGTTAAGCGCGTTATGCTCAATCATCATTCATTGAAACTTGAGCGTACATAGAACCATTTCATCCCCTGTCACATATAAATTGTTCTTTTCATATCTCTACAGTACGGTGAGCACACACCACTTTTCTCAATTCGTTGGTAACAGTTCGAACCGCGATTTATTATAGGTTCACTTTTTAAAAATCCTTTATATCGCTTTTCGACATAAAATACGAACTGAATGTGTAGCATTGAATTTAACAAGGAACTCCTTTTCAAAAAATAGCAAAAATTCACATAAGATTTTTGGTAAGACATCAGTACTAGCCGAAGTAAATGTCTATTCAGACGCTCTATTCAGATCATAAGACATTCGAAAAGTTCCTCTTTTCCATTACCCTAGCGATGGATATACAAAGAAAAGAAATTGGACGAATTTGCCGCTTACGTCATAAAAGCTGGGTGATCGCAATTCACCCAAAAGCGTTTATAATTTTCTCGTTTTGTTTGATTGTTTGTTCTACAAAAATACGTTACTTTTTTTGTGAACGCTTTTTGCTTACATAAGGGATATATAAGCGAGTTCTCTGAAGAGCTACAAAAATTTTTTTTATAAAAAAAAATTCAGTTTATGTATTTGCTAAAATTTTCACGATTTTTCAAAAGTAAAGAAAGTATTTTCTTTTGTTTAAAGCGCTCTTTGATTAACCTCGAAGTGGTAACCGGAAGATCTTTCCGCGTTCATTTCGATAACTCTTGGAGGCTATTGAAAGTGATTACTTTACCTGATGCTGTGCTTTCTTCACTCATCTTCTCTAAACCTTTATGCTATCCTTGCTGTGGTGCTCTGCCCGTGTGTATTCCTACACATTACTCGTGATGTAGAGTGAGACTTCCATTTGCTGCTTTTCGTTGATCGAGGAAGTGCTAATTTCATTCTTGTTCTAATCCCTATTACCTTTAGTTGGCAAATTTAGTTTTTTTAAATGAATTTCGAATTTTTAAAGAATATTCTAATAATTCGTGCTATATTCTTGTAGAAAAATTAAAAAAAAAAAAAACTTTTGCCATCATTGATTCACATCAGAACTCATTTAATGGGCAAACACATTCCAAAAGTATTCGATGCCGAAGGTAGCGAAGCTATTTAAATATTTGGAAGGCAACCATGACAGAAACTCGGTACGAAATTTATATTTAAATCAAACTTAGGGGGAAGGCAGGCAAGAACTACGGCCTCCTTCCTACCGCACAGTTGTCACTTTTAGCAAAAAGAAAAATCATTTCCTTTGGCTCTGCTTGAGTTATTTTAAGCTGTAAAATGCAATAAAAAAGAAAATCCAACGACGCCCAAGAAAAGAGCTAAAAATTTAAATAATAAAAACAGAATGTTTATGAGCAGCGAGCAGCACGTGTTTTTTTTTTTATTTTGAATTATTTAATTTTTTTTTTTATAGAAACCCCTTCCATTTTTTTGTTGATTTCAGCAAAACAATAACTTCTTAACGAAATATTAACGCTTGAGTGCTAGTAGTTAACAATTTTTCTACACATATTTATGCAAACATATATATATATATATGTATGTATGTATGTATGTGTGTGTGTGTGTGTGTGTATTAATATTATTACAATGCTATATATAAGGAAAAACTTAACAAACAAACAAACAGAACCTTATGCATGCTGTCATGCATTCATTACTCAATTGTGTTTTTTTTTTTTTTTTTTTTCCTACAATATATACCACTTTGCTTCTTAGTGCATACGGATATAATCTATGCTCTCTTCTTCTTCTTTCTTTTTATTTTTTACAAGCATATATAACAACAGTAGCTATTAACATTTTTTTTAACCGTTGCTGCTGCGCATAAATTCAGTCAAGCTTTACAAGTAATTGTCTTTTCTTTTTTGTTTTTTTTTCTTCTTCTTTACTTCTTCCTCTTCTCCCTCTCCTACACTATATGCATGTACATTATTTGTTTTTAAAAGTACTTACCTATACTTGCGCAAAGAAGTATAGATAGATAGGTAGATAGGTAGATCGTCGTCGTTTTTTCCCTTAAAGTACAATAATTTCATTAACGATAATTTTCATTTTCCACTAATGCGCTTTGCGCAGGTTTCTTTCTGAAACGTAGATGAATTCTTGTAAGTAAAGTAAGTAAAGCTTACTGAACTTTGACGTTTTCTATATTGTAATAAACCTTTAATAATTTATATATATGCATATGACGAGCAGCGTGTGAGAGTTTAAGCCAAAGCCGAACTAAACGTTTGTCATAGTCAATGTCTATAATTATCTACAAACTTGATCGTTACTTTGTATTAGTGATGCGCGCGCGCGTGTGCTTGTGTGTGTGTGTGCATGTATGCGTAAGTAAGTGTTTAGCAGAAGACAAAAAAAAAACCCGAAGTCATTTCATGGTTTACAGATATATAAGGGTGATGTTACTTTCGCGTTTTCTACTCCTCTTCGCCTTTGTCTGTACTTTATTAATAATAGTCGCTCCGTTTTTTCCGGTAGTAACATATAGCAGCGCAAAGTTTTATATATACCTAAGCAAATAATATATGAATGCATTTGAATGCACGACGAGGTGTTGTACATATTTCTCTAATTATGGCGCGCATGTGCAAAGTCATTCTTTAGCACATTACTATGCTCGTCGCTCTTACTCTTACCGCTCTTACCGCTTCGACTACTACTACTGCGGCTGCTGTTGCTGCTGTTCTTCATTCCTAATGTCATAGTATAACAAAACCGTCATCATTTTTATTAAATAAAAAGTATTTTTGTTCTATTCATTGTTTAAAGAAACAACAACAAATACTTGGAAATAATTAGTGCAATAGGGGCTTTTAATGATTTTAGGCACGTGGTAAATTTTCTTTATTATTTTCTTTATTATTTCTATTAAGAAATTTTTAACTATAATTATAATTACTTTGAGGAATGGTAGTCAGAATACTTGATCCATAAAATTCAGTTCCGAAGAAAAAGCACAAAATTTTAATTAAAATTTCCACTCCTAATACATTTATATAAACCGAAATGATAACTTCGGCTGGCATACGTACTTTCCACATGTTTCCATAATTATCTACCATCTAAATACTTTTCTTTCTCGGTGTAACGATGATGATGATACCCTACTGAAGTGGATCGTCTACAGTGCGGTTTCATTTGTTTTGCGATATAATCTCGGCACCATTCACTGAACTGCATTGCATTGCACTGCACTGCGCTGCACTGTATTGCATCGCATTATATGAGAAAAGAAAAAAAAAGAGAAGAAAATAAGAACTAAAATAAATAATAAAAGTAAATTTTTCCCTTTTAGTTGTCATTGAGAGCAAAAACGATGAAAAACTTCCAAACACCGCAAGGGTGTGTATTATGGAGTGAACTTTACACTTAAATCATACTTGAACCGAAGTGCATATAATGCACATAAACGCATACAGCAGCGGAGACATTCGTTACTTATAGACATGCTGTGCTTATGGTATACATAAATGTGTGAACTGAAACGTAGATATATAGAAATATGTGTACATTTGGTATTTGCTGTAAAGTGCTTATAAATAAATATGTCTGTCTGTCTGGCACTGTCTGATTGTAACTTTGCGCCCTGCTTACCACGGCTGCTGCTGCCGTCAAAGTAGCTCCTGCTGCCGCTGTCTCGTTGCTGCCTTGATGTTCCAAGCAAGACATTGTTGTTGATATAGCATCACTGCACACGCGATCATTTATGCACACAAAATTTATTTTTGCTTTTTTTTTTTCTTTTTTTTGTTAATCATCTTTTAACTTTTGTTACCAGCCCAGACAAATTTATTGCATTTTTTTTCCTCGTTTTTTTTTTTTTTTTTTTGGGTTAGAAAAAAAAAAAAAAAATTTTTTTATTAAAAAAAAAAAAAAAAAAAAAAAAATTTCAATAATATTATTATATTAATTTACTAAAATCCATAATAATAATAATCGATAGAAAATCAAAACTTATGCCACAAAAGTCTAATGCATTTCCTGTCGAGCCCATAATATTTTGATCGTTGATTTGTAAATCATTAAAAATTACATTTTTTATGTTTTTCTATATTAACAAATAAAAAATAAAAAAACACATTTTGATCATTGATTTTTTTGTTTTTTTTTTTTTTTTCTTTTATTTTTTGTATTCATTGTTATATTGTTATTATTATTGTTATTGTTTGTGGTTTATCGAGCTTTACCAAGTTAAGGTTTTATAATTAAAATTAAAAGAATTTAAAGCCTTTCAATTTATGGTTAAAATAACTGTTAATTATTAAAGCGTAAATAGATGATTTTTTGTTTGTATTAAATCTCGAAAAAGAGAATGAAATAAATAGTGACTTTCAAATTCTTGTATTTGAATTTGAATTCATTTTCTGAATTTCAATCTAATCATTGTATGTGTGCTCCATGAAGCCTTTACGGCTTACGGGAGCTTCGAAATTGTAGAATGAACTTTCTAAATGTAAATGTATTGGATTTGTGAAGCAATTACTGAAATATTTTGTCAGGATTGTCATGAGAACGAACATGTCTCGGCACTTTAAAGCCTCTCTTTTTCTCAATATCGCGCCTATAAACTTGAGCGGGTTAAGTTTATCTACCTACCCGCTCACCAATAGTGGTGTCTTCCCACAGCTCCTATAAATGATTTTAAAACGTTTTAAACAACAAACAGGTTCGCCGTAATAAAAATTAAAATTAATTAAAAATAAATGGCTTCAAATAAAGCGAAAGCTACGGCCTTCGTATTTGTCAAAGCTTTTTCAAGGTGAAAGTGGTCCCGATCAACTCAACGGCACACCCACAATTGATGAAAAAACTCTGAACTTTGCGATAACATGATAATAATTGCTTACTTACGCTTCTTCAAGATTTCATTTCTTTCTGTACGAAAAAGTATTTCTTCAATTTCTTGTTTGGATAATAAATTTCTCTAAAAAAATTGATTTTCGAAAATTTAGTATGCTTAGGATGTTTTTACGACCCACACTATAATTTATCTCATGTCGTTGTGCTTGCTTGCGCCCGCGCGCCTGTGTCAGTTACTTTTGATGGATAATGAAAAACGAAAGTTTTCTCTTCTAAGAAAAACACAGATAAATAAATTTGTCATTTTCTTCTCTTCTATCCTCCCTCGATCGACCAACGTTTTCTTCTTCTTATAAATAAAAAAAAAAAACAAAGAAAAAAAAAGCAACGAGATAACAACAATGACAGTAAATAACCCCTCCTCTTCTTTTTATGGCCAGTTTTATGGTGTCATCATTACACATTACCGCTCTCTCGACCCGATATCTAAAAGCTAGACGACGGCTGCGTTCAGTATACAACGGTAATCAAGTGTGAATTGAGGGCGCTGGTGTATAATACAATTATACCCGTAGACAGCAACACTCGGTAGTCAGCACCGTTGCATGTATATTGTCGTTGTTGTATTGTCGTTGTTAGGCAAATAGTTAAAAAGCGTGTTGCTTCTCGTTATTGCTATTGCTTTTAACTCATTTGCATTTAAAATGCACTTCAAGACAGCAGCAACAGCAACAGCAACAGCAGCAGCACAGGCACAGCATATACGTTAGCTAAGGCTAACTTACTTTAAAGTAGTTAAGCTTAGATAGATACATTGAATGCCGAGTGCTTGCCATATGTGTATTGCGTTGCATATGCATTGCATGTGTGTCAATTAATCTATATGTATGCATGAATCTTATGAAAATAAAAAAAAATAAAAAATAAATAAATAAAAAAACTACTTTATTACCAGATCTCTGGGCTCATATGTATGTATATAAATTATGTGGGCGTTTGGGAAAATATTGTTATGCTTGATTTTGTAACATTTTTTTTTTTTTTTTTTATTGCCGCTATGCTGCTTTGCCGTTAAAGTTTACTTTTCATCATCTTTTCAATTTGTTGTTGGGAAGTTACAGAAACATTAACACCTGAATTATTTTCATATTCAAATGACTTCCGTGAGGAAATAAATTTATTATTATGTATTTATTATTGTTGTCTCCCTATGTCTCTCCATATATATAATGCATTGGATTGTAAAAGCAATCACACTTATGTAATAGATAATAATTTGTTGTTTTCTTATCCATCATTCCAACAGGGTACTTTTACTTTAATTGTGGAGGCTCTACATGATACCAATAACAGTGCCAATGCTCGTTCTAGCAGTAAGTATCCAATCGTTTATAAATTTATTTTAATTTTTATTATAATTATATCCTTCCTCTCCTTTTTTGATGCGATGACGAACCCCATCCAGCAAAACAAAAAACCATATCCTGTAAATTTCCTGTTTATTAAAACGAAAGAAAGCAAACGAAAAACGTAATCCTTCGTTTAATAAGTTTATGTTATACAAACAAAATTTAAAAAAAAAAAAAATGAAAACAAAACTCGTTTGCCTTACATGGCTTAGCTTAGCTCTTTAGGTTTTTTCTTTTTTTTTTTTTTTATGTTTTTGGATTTTTCTTCCATTCTCCTGAGTGAAATTTAATACTTTTGTTGACACTTGTGCCTTAGTTTCGTCTTTTTTTGTTCAGGTTTTATCCCTTAAAGTGTTTTTCTGTTGTTTAAGTTTCCGGTTTATTGTGTGGTTTTGTATAACTCTTCTTTATATATAACTATATATATATATATATATATACATATATATATATATACGTATGTCGTTGAAGTCTAAAGCGTTCATGTCTTTTTTCTATGCAACGGAAACTTTGTTTTTAGTTTCATTTGATTTCAGTTTAATTACCTTAAATAAGCAAAATTTGAAAGGCAGTATAACTCTAACGTTTCGCAACTTTGGCCTTTCAACTTGACTTGAAGATGTAGAAATATTTCTCTTTTCTTTCTCTACTCATTTATTATATTCGAACAATCCTTTCTTCCGCCAAAAAAAAAAATTAATTGCACGCTTCAAGTATCAAATTTTGCTATATCTATGGTCTTATGGTTATCGTCCTATCCATTACAACAAAAAATTTGTTCAACTGTCTCTCTATTCGAACTTGAGGCCTTCAGCCGTCCGTTATATTGATGCCTCGAATGTCGAGCTCAAATTAACATCTGCCGATTTTCATCAAGCAAGGGCGTAACTGCTACCATAAACAGCCAAAGCAAACCAATCACTGTCTTAGCCATAGTATAAACCTGCTTTAAGCCATAGTATAAACCTAAACGCTAAAATATATACAAAGTAGTTTTCATAAGTTTGGAATAGAAATTGAGGTTTTACCATTGGACGAGCTTTACTTTTTCATGTTGATTCGAATGAATCGTGCCGTTCATAGAACACCGTCCAGTTTACAAAAAAAAAAAAAAAAAAAGAAAAAGGAAAAAAAATCATGATGCTCATGAATTGCACTGCTGCTGCCCATCGTTAAAATCCGTGCGGTATACTCACGTCGTAAAGTTAACGCACTTTTACTTTATTATTATTTTTTGTAGATTGGAGGGTTTTTTGCAAACATACATTTATTTATTTTTTGTTTTTGATACGGGCAAATAGTGAGTGTAGTCAGAAAGAGGTGAGTCAAGAAATATTGAGGGAGAGCGCGCAGGCCCCAATCGGTACGTCTTCTACTTTTACCGGCTGAGTATTTACAATAACTATGGCTGTGATATGGCCGAATAGCGCTGAGATAGGAGCCCGCGTGCATGTTATTATAAATCTCTGACAATCATTTTATGTAGAAATTATAGGCAATGACTAATGCGAAGGTGTCGCCCTAAAAGCGTCGTAGTAAGGCGAAATGACAGCCCCATTGATTCGTACGATTCCAATTATTCGACGCCTCGGACCTACAAAGTGTGTTTGGACACGTCCGTCTTCGTTACGATTCTGTTTTCCTTTATTAGAGAAGTAAATTGCGTAAGAGTTAAGAAGAGCAAGTAATGTTCACGTTTGAACATGTGTTCGTTCCATCCGAAATTTCTTGTTAAAAAACAGCAGTAATCGAAACTTCAGGTTAAATATTCCGCAACCACTGTTATTACAAGAGTTCCTCCAGCATTTTACTTATCTTAGAATTCATTTTTCTCGAAGCCTATTCTTCTCTTCGCGCCTTTTTCGGCTATTAAAACATTTGAAGTGCTCCGAAAAATCTCTATTGTCGTTCATTACAGCCTTCATTGGTAAAAATTGGAAACTAATTCGTCAAAAGCAATTTCTATCGACGACAACGGCATTGACATCTAAGTCTTATCGTGTTAATCTTAACGTAATTAATATTATTTTTACTCTTTTTGTTCTTTGTGTAGCATTTTTGTATTATTTTTAACCCTAAAACATCCTGTCATGATTTTTATCTCTTTTATTATTTTGATTGTAATGCTATAGCAATTTCAATCTTATATGTAAGCGCATCTGTATGAATATTCGTATGTGTGTGTGTGCGTGTATGCGCGCATAAAATACTAAAGATATATGAACGATATGCACACTTTAATCGGCGTCATCACACATTTTATGTTGCAGTTGTTTATGTATGTTGTTAAGGATTAATTTCATTTATATCGTGTTGTTGCGTTGTTGTTGTTATTGTTGTGTTATTTTTGCAGTCATTTTTTCTTTTAATGTATGCTTCTGCTATAGATCTCCCGCATATTTAACGTAAGGTTGTTAGTGTTGCTGTTGTATACGCACCACTAAAACTATAAATACTTGTTACGTGAGGTTCGTGGCTTAAGTCTTTCGTTTAGAGTTGCAATGATTTGGTTTTTGTTTGTTGTTTGATTTCGAAAGGAATTTTTTTTTTTTTTTTTTTTTTTTTTTTTTTTTTTTTTTTTTTGTGAGGCTCTTGCCAATATGAGCTTAGTTTAGTTTACGCCTGTCGAAGTCGGTTTGTCTGCAACAAGTTTTGCGGATAATTCAGAAACGGAAAAAAAAAAAATAAAACACCAAAAAAAATGAAAAAAAGGAAAAAACCAAACGACAGCAGCCCGAAATGTTTGACGTCGTATTCATGCATGTCGGTCTGTCTGTCCGTCTGTCGTTTTTCGTGGTGTTCGTTTTTCGTTTGGCATGTTTGGTGTTGTCCTCAGTTGTTTTTTTTTTTTTGTTGTTGTTTATAAAATACTTTATCTTAAGCATTTCTTTAGCATTTTTTTTAAATGTTTAGGTACTGCTGCATCCTGCTTTATGGTTGCTGGATGCAAACTTCTTCTATAGGGCTTTGTGGCTCTTGAATTTTTTAGACTATTTTGTTTCTTCTGCTTTGTGTTGTTCTTCCTGAGGTTTCTTTTTTTTTTACTGTCTTACGGTGTAGCCTCCAAGATACCAATTAATCTTTGCCAATGCCAAAGTTGTTAGTTTAAGCAACCGAAAACAACCACGACGCTTGTTATTGTTGTTTTAGAGGCAGTTTTAAACGTTTATCTTTTCATTTTTTCGCCACATCAATGCCATCAAAAAAGAATTTTTTCTTCTTTTTGCAACTTCTTTAAGTATTTTTTCGGTTTGTTTAAAATTGTTGTTCTAGTCTAGAAAAAGAAGGGAAAAAAATTCTTCAAGTAAACGGATTTTTTCCTCTCTTAAATCATTTAAAAATTTGTTTACTAATTTGTAAAAAAATTTGTGTTTCATACTCAAACGCAAAACTGGTCTATTCGTATATTTTAGTAGTCCATATATGTGTGTGTATGTCTATACGTATGTACATTGAGGTCTGGCATTTCGGATTTATCAGCAAGAAATTTGCATTGATGTCATTTAGAACCGGTTTGTTTTCATGTTGATATTTTATAACATTTTAACATTTTCATCTTTCACATGTAATAATTAAACATCTAACACTTTTTCCTATATACACCGTAACACATACATATGTAAATAGCCATGCAACAATTCATCGACTTAAGCTATAAAGTGCGTTAACCACCACCAACAGGCCGGTAAGCGACCGTTCAAGCAACCAGCATATATTTTATATACGCGTATATATATGGATGTATGTATGTATGCGTAAGTTGATTTTTGCACTCAAGCGTTACATTGAAAACTAAAGATAAAAAACATGTTATTAATATTGTTGTTGTTATTTTCATTGCTGTATAGTCTTGTGTCGCTTTTGCTGTTGATACGAAATGTTGTGTATGCTGTGCTGTGTGCATACAAATATTTTTTGGCTGCTTAGTGCGTTTTCTAATAACCTGTCACACCAGCCACAACCAGCAGTAGAGTACAGTAAAGAATTAGTCGCTCTTGCGCATACATTTTCCACTAACCCAACTACCACCGCTTTAACTACCGCTTACAAGCAAGCAAGCAAGCGCACTTGGCATGCGAGGTTCGAATAAATTTGGCACATAATACAACTTTTGCCCCACGTACACAAGCACGCAAAAATCCAACAACAATAATAATAACAGCATGACCACAGCTATTTGCCACATGTGCTTATAAGCCCAAATATAAAAACACACTAACAACGACAACAACAAAACACAAACACACACAGCAATAACATCAAAAATAAAAACAAAACACACAATATTTTCATATACAGTTGTTAGCATACGCCGAAGTAAATGGTATGCAATCAATGCCTGTCGTTTTAATTCGCGTACGTCTATAGACAAATACAGTCAATTGCATACACAGAACAATTTGCGAGTTAGTGTCACTTGTTTATTTGCAAAAGCAGAAAAAAGCAAAAAAAAAAAAAAAAAATTGTAAAACTCACAACTACGATAATAATAAGTAACCGACAACAGGTGAACTTTAATATTTTTAACTTATTCGTCGAAGATTTCTAAGAAGGAGAACGAACGAAAGCATTTTAAGAAAATTATTAAAAATTCACTTATTTCATCTAGCACTTTATTGGTAGTAGTAGTAGTAGTAGTAGTAGTAGTAGTAGTTGTTGTTGTTGTTGTTGTTGTTGTTGTTGTTGTTGTTTTCAAAATACCTTTCCGAAAGCAAAGCTTAATTATCGTTCAAATCCTCCTTACGTAAGCGGCCTACATTAGAGGCGTAGAATTCCTCTTTCGATTTGTCCAGATGTTATCCAGCAAATGTGGGCATTTCTCGCACCGAGAAATAGCACGAAGCATGGATTTGAAAATTCAACATTTTTTCCAAAAAATCTTAAAATCTATGATTTTTTAAAATTTTAAAGTAAGAGACTCGAAAATGGGTTGACAAATAGCAGACAAACAAACCCGCAATAAATGGGATGAGAGTTTCGCTGTAGAATTTGGACATTTCCATACTTTCAACTCACTAATACTCTTCGTTGAATCTTAAATTCTTCAATTTTATGAAATTAATTTAACAGAAAAAGTAAAGAAAATATTCAATGGATTCCATCGCAATTTCGACTAATTTGTGTTAATTTTCTAAACATCAATTATCGCGACTATCTGTTGTAATGTGTGTCGTGTATTTCCTCGAACATGTATTCCTGGCATTTCTTCTATTCTAAGCCATGCAAGCAAAGTCTCCTTCACTCACTCAATGCTTTACTGGTTTTCTTCTCCTTTCTTTTTATTTTTTTTTTATGCAATTAATTGTGGAAAACACTTTTGCTTTTTTATACATAAGCAAGCAAAAGCTGTGTATGTATCTATCGGATCGGAGTTTATAGCAACAGCAATTACAACAACAAGTAGATTGATATCATGCCAGCATGTTGCTGTTGCTATTTTCTTCCTTTTTTTTTTTTTTTTTTTTTTTTGCTTTTCGTTTTTTATTTAACTTCATTATTTTATAAAGACCCCCACAATTTGCTCTTCCTCTTTAAAAATTTTGTCGTTTTTTGTGTGTGTGTGTGCCATTTTTTTTTTTTTTACTTTAAGTTAAACTTGTTCCTCTCATTTCTGCCGTTCGTTGTTGTTACTGTAAGCGTTTCATATAAGTATGTGTGTGTTTGTGTGTGTATGTGTGTGTGTGTGTGTGCACACATAAAATAGCATATGCAACATTATCAATATTGCTTCTTTAACATTGCGGGAGATTTATGCTGTTCTCTGCCCTGCTGCTGTTGTTGGTGTTGTTGCCATTTATGCTTTTCGTTTTTAGTTTAATGTTTTCTTCGTTTGCGCACACAGAAAAAAAAAAAAATGTGCACACCGCTGTAGTATGCAATCAACTAAACCAACTCTCCTTACTCATACCACTCATACAACACATCAACTTTACGTTTAATTTCATACATATGCTTGTTATATTTGCTGTTGTGTTATATGTATATGTAGATGTAAGCAACGAACCAGTCATGCACCTGCAATTTACTTTACAGACCATGGCAAGCCAGGGCATTTTCGTACGTCTCTCATGCCACGATAGTAGAGATGGTGCAAATACACCTTTTTCATGTGTATGTGTTTGCGTGTATTGTATGCGCATGTGTGCAAGTAAGCAACACCTGAATTTTTATTTTATTTCTTTTATTATTTTTTCGCTTCTCTTCTTTTAATGCTTTGATGTTACTGTTGCTATTGTTATTGTTGTTGCTTATAGGTCCGGCTGTCTGCTTGACGCACTCAAATATCATGCATTGCAGTGGTGCTGTTCAGTTGCATGCCGCTCGCGCTCCCCTCTCCTTCCTCCTTATAAAAATGTTTTTATACTAGACATCGTATTCGTGTGCTTAGAGTGTGTTTAGAGTATGCTCGAACTTGCAATATTGCAAATAGTTGTTGTTATAGCAAAACCAAGGAAAACCATCGCGCCAACTCAACTACCATCACCGTCACTGCATTAGACAGACAGTTACTTGGATAGATCTGCAGACAAATGTAAAGAATGACAATTTTTTGTTTCTTTTCTTTTTTTCTTTTTTGCTTTTTTGCTTTTATTGAATTTTTGTTATGAAAGGTCGATCGTACGTACGTTCGTATGTTTAATTTCTTAGCTTACCAGCCAAATGTTTGTCGGGAGTAGTTGTTTTGTGTGTCTTTTTCTTTCTGCTCATTTCTGTAGTTTTCTTTCATAAAAATTAAAAAACATTAAGATATTATCTGTAATTTTGAGACGTACCTTATAACGTTCATCAGCATCATCTGCCGCTATTACCTCTCTACCTACTATTTTTGTCGTACAGCGGGTTAAAAAGCAATGATTGGTTTTTTGCAGCCGGGATCAATACAGAATTTCGGTTTACTTTCATTTCCTATCTTGTTGTTGTTGCTTTTAGTTAGTTGAGTTTCCTTGGACGACCGGCCTCTCGTTTACCAATTCCCTCCCATCAATGTAATAATATTTTTATAATTAATGTTTATTTAATAAACTGATTTCATTCTATATCGGCTCTTATGCACAAGCGCGTTAACATTTATTTTCTTTTCCTTTTGTGCAGATCTATTAATACAACGTTTATCGGTGCAACAAGTTTTGGAAGTCTCGCCTGAATGGAAAACGAACAAATCCGAATCGCAATACACTTGGCTGGAATATGATTTTCGCGTTACCTGTGATCCTCATTATTACGGTTCGGGTTGCGCTAATCTCTGTCGGCCGCGCGATGATCAATTCGGTCACTACACTTGCTCTGAAACTGGCGAAATTATCTGCTTATCCGGCTGGCAGGGAAACTATTGTGATAAACGTAAGTTGAAATTTCCTTTCAAGTAAATCGCTTAAATTGATTACAAAAAAAGATTCTCTTTATACCACTTTTACTTTGCTAAGTAGGATTTAATTTGAATTAAAACTTTTTTTTTTTTTTTTTTTGTATCATTGAAGTTTGAAAAATTACTTCAAAAACATTTTCTTTTACTCTTTATCGAATGAATTAATATGGCAACGGGCAATGGGCAACGATCCCATCTTTTTTTTATCTGAATAATTCTGCAGCTACAGAAGCGGTTCACATTAACACTGAAAGTGACTTAAAAAAAAAAAAAACGAGAAATAGATTTATATTTATGTATATAGGGGGGGATGTATGCAACACCGAGAAGCACTTGAGCTAGACTTACCTTATGTTATATTGATCGGTTCAGAAAGTCTATCCGTCTGTCTGGCTTGTTTTCTTGTGTTCACCCTACAGCCGCCGTAATTTTTGAGATTTTTCGTACACCGACATGCATTGGCCCAAGGGCGAACTCTCTCTCGGATGGGACCACTTTTTCGATGACTGCCCACGTAAAGCCACACTTTGAAAAGCCAATGTACAAATAACTGTAGGGTGGTGTGCAGTCCGTTTAACTGTTTTTCTTCATTTTAGCAAAAATTTTTAAAACTTTCTCACTAAGAAAATGGACAAATAATAAATAGGAAAAAAAAAAAAAAAATAGGATTTTATTCCTGTCGCGCTCACTGGAACTGCAACTCTCATATATCTAAGAAAAAAAAAAAAAAAAAAAAAAGAGAAGAAAAGAAAAACAAGGAAATTCCCCTTATGTCGTGGGCTGAACTGAATATTTTCGTAAAAAAAAAGAAAAGAAATCTTGTATTTTTTGAATGATTTATTATGAGGCAGTATCTCTCTTTCACAGCAATTTTAAACAAATTTAAAACTTTTTCGTTCTTTTTTCTTAAAAAAAGCAAAGAAAAAAATTGATAGCATTTAGTAAATGAAAACAGCTGCATTTTTAAACCTGTTGTTTCATTGTCTTTATTAATTCAAACCTCTCTCGAGCGTTGTAATCAACATCCGTCCTTCATTGAAGAGAACAAGCAGTTGAAGGGAAAAAGGGATAAATTTAAGAATAAAAAAAACCTCAAAGATAAGCAACAAAATTATTTCCCAAAACTAATTTTTTATTTTTTTTTTTTTTTGTTAAAACAAAATAAAAATCCGCAGAAAAAAGGGATCTTTGATAAACGCTCTCACACACGCACGCACAGGCTCATTCACTGGCTGACTTCCTTTCTTTTTACTATACAAACAGGTAGTGTTAGATATCCGTGAATCCACTTTCCTGCAGCAAACAATTTTTTCTTTCAATTTTGATTCATTTTTATAAACATTCAAACAGTGTTTGTAAAAATCTCTCGCTCTCTTTTGCTCTCAACACGCACGCATACGAAGCAGGAGGCTTTTCAAGGCAAAGCAATTCATTTTAGAGTAAAACACGCATCGGTACCTTAGAGTTACAATATCAGAAGCAATAACAACAACAACAGCAATAAGAACGAAAACAACAGCAGCAGCCAAAGCCAAATAGTGGTTTTCTCAAGTAAGCAGTTAAGTGTAGATCCAATTTTTATAAGCGACTGTATATGTATTCGTGTGTGCAACTACCACACCTTACCTGCTGCTGCTCTAGTGTGTATGTTCAATATGTGATTCTCCTCGTACCTTTCTTACTTGGCCCTAATGCTAGCGTGGGAAGATTTTTTCACTCTCCTTACACACATCGTCATCATCATCATCACCATCATCATCATCAACATCATCATCATGATCATCATCATTATAATAATCATCAAACACCGTAACTCCTTTTCTGAAAAAAGACGAAAAAAATAAATAAATAAATAAATACAAGCAAACAAACAAAGAAGATAAATAATACAGAACCAGAACACAAGGCAACCTTAAGAGTCGCCAGAGAAAAGCATTAACATTATTATGTGTATTTTTCGTTAAGAATTTTTTCAAAAAAATTTTAGTTTTTGGTTAGTCAGTCAGTCGCAGCGGATCTTTTCTTACATGTCTTTCATACATAACAGATTTTGTTTTCAGTATTTCTTTCAAATTAAACGGATGCTGTTTATTTAACTGTCTGTCTGTCTGTCCGTCTGTCCGTTCTTTAAAATATTTCTTTGTTTTTGCCAAAAAAAAAAAAAATAAAAAAGAAAAAAATTTTTTATAATATTTGTTATGATTTCTATGTTGCTTGAGCTCTTCGTCGTCTGAATCTCTCTCAAGACCCCTCCTCTTTTCTTTCTTTCTTTGTCTTTATAGCGAAATTTATTTTCTCACACTCTATAAATTTCAATTTGTTATTATCAATATTTCAATAGAGCGTTATTTTTCATTTACTTTTATTCGTATTAAGTGGCAACAGTAAATGCCAAATGAAAAAGTATATTCTCTAGGAGATGAAATCCAAGCAAAAATTAAAAAAAAAAAATTTTCTTCTTCTGGCCTGTTTTCGCTAAACTCTGATTCCTGATTGATTTGCCAGCAGCATTATTGGATATTCGCCAATTTTATCGGTTGTTTCATCTTTTTGTTTTTTTGTCTTTATGTGCGTTTTCCAGCCGCTCTATACCGTTCTCATCAATAATATAAAACTAAGTTTAAATTTTCCATCTCAAGCTTTGAAATTTATTTGTTTATTAACTCAAGCGCATCTGACATTTGAACCCGCGACCAATTCTTGAGAAGCACCAACGTCTTCTGACGAGCAGATCGATCTACATAACTAAAAATAGTCTCTCTGCAGATATTGCACTTTAGTTACGAAAAACGCGTAATCCGAACTTTTAATTGGCTTAACAAGCGAAAATAGTTTAAAAAGAATTTTTTCAAAAAATTCATATAAAAAAGCAATAAATATGTATATCGTTAAAAGCAAGCGTATAATTAAGTTATTTACTCGCCATTCATAAAAAATATTTTTCTTGCCTTTATCCTTATTCCATTCGCCAAGTCTGTATATTTTGCACGCTCATAACTGGTTTCTATTGAAACAAAAAGAAAATGAGAATTTTCAAGCGTCACTAGAAATATTAATGACTAATGTCTTTATCTTATAATATTGTTGTTGTTATTGTTTCTTTTTTTTTTTTTCTCTTCTTTGTATTAATAAAAAATTTAAATACAATTATCATTTAATTTGTTTATACACGAATGTTTTTATAAACAAACAAAGGTCGATCTTGAAATGCATTTTTCTGAATAGTCACGGCTTTGAAATTGATTTGCGTTGTTGGCTTCATTAACCATAACCGATAATGACGATGACGATGGACTATGGCTATGTTTATGTAGAGAATAAAGTAAAACATTAAGAAAAAGTTTAATGACCCTTTCGGAAAATATTGCATAATTATTTAATGTTTTGTTTGTTCCTTTTCTCTTCTCATTTCTTTCTTTCTCATTTAAAGCTTTCTTTTCTTCTTTTTCCTTTTTTTTTTTTTTGTTGTTATGACAAATCTATCGGAAGAAATTCCTTTAAAATTATCCTTTGAGGGCGTGTGAAAGAAAAACTCACTCAACAAGAATTCTGTTGCAAAACTTTAAGTATTCACTTTCAATACCAAATACCATTAACCAACAACAACAGAAACATCTTGATGATCATTATCATTATAGTCATCGTCATCGTCATCGTCATCATTACGTTCAGCACAGATTTTCTTATATGTTTATAGAAGAATCAATAGAGTTTTGTGTGCGGCTACAAAAATTAAAAGAATTTTTTTTCTTCTTTTTTTTACCATTAATGGTAAAAGGGAAAAAAAATAAGAAAAATTGCATTAAAAACCAGAAAATCTTTAACTAACATAAGCAAGCACGCACGCACACATCGAAAACTAGAATTCTCCGATATTTCTTTTTGTACGGATGGTAAAGCACGTTTTCAGCCATGAGATTTTCTTAACTTGGCTTAATAGAACTTTTCTAAAGAGATATTGAATGAAAATCTATAGACAGTTAAATAAAACCATATTTTACTTCAAAAAACCAGTCCTGCGGAGCTGCAAAGCGAACAGAGCGACAACGATATTAACAAACGAAAAATTGTTAGCACGTTTTTCTTTATACTAACAACACAACAACAACTATAACAACAATAATAGCAAGTCAGACAGGCAAACTGGAAAGCAAGCAAGCCAGCGACGACTATAGTCCTTCTTATTTAATAGCCAGTCAGTCAGTCAGTTAGTCCGTCAGTCCGTCAGCCCTTTTATGCCGATCATTAACAACAGCAAAACGCTGCATATACTTTTCATATAACAACAGAGCTCAGTGACTTAAGTCTCACCAGCAGATGCTATAAACTGTGTTCTCAAATCATGGGAGTCTTCGCTGCCTGCTTTTTTTTTTTTTTTTTTTTTTTAATTTTATTTCTTTTTACGATCTTTGAAGTTGTTTAGCAAAATAAAAATAAAATAAAAAAAAAAAAAAAAACTCTGCTACGCTGCTATGCTGCTATGCTTTAACCATGAAATCTTAGAAAGAACTTAACAAAAAAAAAAAAAAATTTATTCGAATGCGAATAAAATCCGCGTAACAAAAACTAAAGTATTTATCTTAAAGTATTTAATAAGTTTTTGAAGAATAATGAAAAAAAAATAAAAATAAATAAAAAACTTACCGAAAACGAACCAAAAACGCAGACTTCACGTTTTTCTGTTAATTTTTATGTTTTTCTCAATACTTTGTTGCTTATCGGCTGTTTCGTTTTTTTTTTTTTTTTTGTGTTGTTTTCTCGATGCTTTGGGCATAATTTTACATTTTATAAAATTATATTTAATTTAGTTTTGGTTCTATTTTTATGCGCTTTGAGGTTTAATAATTTAATGATTATTTATTATCTTAATTATATGTTAATTAATTTTTTCTAACATTAATTTTACACTTTTTCTATACTCTTATAGCGAAGTGCGCCAAGGGTTGCGAACATGGCCATTGTGATAAGCCCAATCAATGCATGTAAGTATCTCTTTACCGATTCATTTACTTTTTACATTTAAACTTTGGAAAAATAGAGAGAAAACTTTGTTTAAAATTTCTTTTCTGTAACTTTGCGCGCTACGTATGGGAACTCTTAAGCGTTTTTATGACTTTGTTATAGCAATAAAGGTTTGGTTCATTCATCAAAGAAATCGAACTGACTTTACATATGCATAGCTTTAGTTTTTGAGTCCCCGCTATTCATGACAAAAGTCGTTATCCTTGCGATCTTTGTCTAATCTTTGAAGATTTGGTATATGACAAACTTCTTCCTTTCAAATGAAGTGGGGGGGGGGGGGAACAATCAGTCATGTAGATGAGTTAGAAATCTTTGAAGAAATGTCTTCGGAGAAGAATTGAATGAATGAATTGAAAGATGAAGATGGAACAATATGTAAATGCATAATAGTTGTGATCTTCGATTACTATCATCCAAATAATCTAGCCTGGCCTAGAAAGTAGTTGGTTTCTTTCCGCCCCTTCTTGGCCATTATCCAATGAAAATATCAAGCCAAAGCGAAAGCCAGTATTTAAAATACAATTAGATTTCGCATTAAAGTATTTGAATGTAATAGTGCAATCAATAAGTTCGTAGGATGACAAACAAAATCAAAATCAATGCAGAATTAGTCAATTGTGGCGCCATCTATCTACATATCATACCACAATCTTATTAAGTGACGCATTACAATCGTAGTCGCATTTTTGCATTGTGACATATGTCATTATAGTCATAACAGCTTCATAGGTTTCCGGAGTTTATACCAACTTTCGTACCACGGATCAATAGTCGCAATAAATCGCTTCAATATCAATTTTGTTATAAAACAAAATCGGAAAAGAAATGTTTGTAACTCTGTTGTGATTTGTCGTCTTTGTGACGTTCTTCAGAAGGGGACCCATTATTGGCATTTCTTATTATTATTCATTTAGCCAGAGAAATAAATTCCAAGAGAAAATTTTTAACGCACTATCATCTGAAGCCACCGGCTTTGTTGTGCACTCTACTGCACTTGAGATCCGACCGAATCTCCGACCATTGAGTTATTAGTCGAGATCCTTTGCCTCAGGCAGATTTGTCAAATTTTTATATATATCTTGCTATACGTACGCTACGTAATAGACAATGAGAAGGAAATTTTGCATAAAATAGGAAGAAAAACGATGTACAAAATAAAAAAAAGTATGTATTCAGTTCTTCTTCTTCTTAAATACCTCTTTTTACAATTTTCTTGGACGAAAAAATTGAAAGCGAAAGCTTGTCATTGTCATGAGAGAACAAATTCGTTCTGCTAAATCATTAGGAAAGTGCGAGTGGATGTGTTGTTTTTCCAAAGGCAAAGCCAAGCCAAGCGCCTGAGAGGACCGACCGTCTTTCATATTTAATGGTTGTTTGCTACTCATGTTACACCTTCGCAATGATTGCTTAGCTATGTTTTCAAATTTTTTCTTCTTTTCTTATCTCAAGCATTAAAAGTTATTGTTTTAATTGATTATAATTGAGTTTTTCCTTAAGCGCTTTTTTTTTTTCTTTGTTTACATCAAGCATTCACTCATAATATCGTAGGCAAACACAATGTACGGAGAATGTAAATAAGGTTTTTCATGAGCAAAGTTACTATGAATTTTGAAATGCATTACAATTTGAGTTAGCTTGTTTTTTGTAGATTCACGTATGTACACTTAACAAATGAGCGAACATACGGACAAACAGAAGAAACACTATTTATGGTAAACACTCCTCATTACGACACACCTTATATCAGACATTTTATCATCACGGTTCTACTTAGTTCAAGTGGTCTACCATTATTATTATTATTGCTATTGTTGTTATTGTTTTTGTTATTGCTACGCTATTATTATCGCAGTTAAGTAAAACAAGAAAAGGGCAAATTTTTTGCATTTGTATGTCTCTTTGTTTCACAAATTTTAAATTGGCGCTTATTGAAAACAGAAAAGAAAAAAGAAAAAGAAAAAAAAAAGGAAAAGAAAACCACTTTTAATAAAGAAATTTTTATTTTTCGAGGCTTTAAAAAGACGCAAGAAGAGAAATAGAAATATAAGTCGCATTTATTTTTGCTTACAATTGAAATTTTATTGCATTTTTGTGTCTTTCGGTTGCAGTTGAGGTTTTTTATTACAAATAGAATTTTTCCCACAATTTTTTGTTTGTCTTTTACTAGTCAAAGGCAAAAGAATTGATATAAAAAAAAAAAAGACTTCAAATCATCGTAAGCTCAGTCGAAAGAGTGTAAAACTGGGTAGAGGTACGTTGAACGAAAGAGATTAGCGGTACTTCTAAAAACAACAGCAATAACAACGGCAGCAACATTAACTCTTCTATGCGCAATATTTGTAACGTATGGATAATCCAGTGACCGTCAAGGGGATTGCGGAGTAACAGTTAAAGCTATTTGCTTGCGTTGGTTTTTGGCTTCTATTCGTCGCATATAACTGCAAACATTAAACACACAGGTGTAAATCAACACTTTGCTTAGCTTGGAATTCATATTTGACCAAACAGTTGAACATGCCAGTCAGCTGATATTCTTATATATACACAAATATACATACATACATATGCATGCACACACGCGCGCGCGCAGAAATACAGGCTTATATGTAGAGCGTTAGACTACTACAAAGCTTTGCGATTCAATGCCAATCAAAGGGAAGTCTCTTATTATACGTAATTTTATTGTTTTGCGAAAAGTTGTTTCATACATACACTGTTGTATTATTGTTATTGTTGTTTATTGCTATTTTAAAGTTAAAATCAGCAAAAATTATTGTGGTTTTTTCCTCGTCTCTGCGTCTTGTGTGTGTGTGTGTGTGTGTGTGTTTGTTTTTGTGTTTATATGTGTGCATGCGTTCGGTCTTGTGTTTCGGACTGGGAGAGAAAAAAAAAAAGACAACAAAAACAAAAAGAAAAAGGAGGAGCTAAGA